AAACCTTGTAATTGATCATCTTGACATCGAGATCTATGACTATGAAAAATAAAAGATTTTGGATCTAAACAATAGTGCATCTTACAACATATTATCTACACCTATCTATTTTCAAAATTTTTATATGTTTATAGATCTACTTGATTTTCACTATTTTTGTAAATTTAAATTTATAATTAGATATAAAAATAGCTTTTAAGATAATCCTAATAATATTTTACATCAAAATTATATATTATGATAAAATTTGAAGGTGCATGTTAGTTGGATTGTTTAAGGTTGCAACCTTATGGAAACCATATATATATATATATATATATCTTAGATGATGCAAAAATAAGAAGGATGCTTCTAGAGAGAAAGGGCCTGCCACTAGAAGGATGCCTCCAAAGAGAAAGGCCCCGCCACGAGAGAAATGGTAGGGTATGTGCATTTTTATTGTAGATAAAGAGGAAGATAAAAACTAGAAAGAGAATTATGCATGGTCCTTGTTGTTCTCATCTTTCAGGATGTTTATCACACGGGATATTCCTTAAATTTTATTTAATGTCTAATCAAGACAATCCATTTCAATATCTATCTTTACAATATCCCTAGATTCCCTCTTAGGTCAAGGAAGGAAAGTATGATATTTTATATTTGCATGTTTATTCTTACGTGACTCCTCCCAAAGTCTCTCCCAGATTCGATATCCATATGTACCTCTATCACTATTTTTACTAAATTACTATATTCTCTCTAAAAATGTGCGAAAATAAGGTATATATATGTCTCTCTCGTTCTATTTTTAATTTTTTTCTTCAAATTATCTGATCTTATTCATTTTCATTTGATTATTTAATAATAGTAATTATCACAATATGTACTTTCATATTATTAAATAGCATACAACTAAACTTATTAAAATATTTGTAATATAATTAGGTCATTGTAATGAATGTTATGATATTTGCAATTATATATTGATAATTGGAAATATAATTAAGGGAAAAAACTTATAACCCCTCTCTAAAATTATAATCCCAAATAACCCTATGATTTTATAAAAATCCCATGAAACCCCCTAAGTTAAACAAAAAAGAACCTGTTACCCCCTCCTTACTCTTTTTTTTATCGTCCAAATTATAGAATTTACCCTTTTCTAATAACCTCGTTATAAAAATTGAATTTATGCTACCTCTTTTAACGTGAGGTCCACAAAATGAGTGAGAGAGATGAGTATTCATGGAAGGTTGCTAGAAAGAGAGGGAGGAAGAAATCCGCAAGTGAGGAAGAAAGAGAGCGAGAAAGAGAATGAAAACTTTTACAGGATTTAGATAACAAAGTGTTGAGAAACAAAGGATAAATTCAATAATTTAAACAATAATAAAAAAAAGGAAGGCATTAAACATCTTTTTCATTTAACTTGGGGGGTTTAATGAGATATTTATAGAACCAGAGGGTAGTTGGGACTATAATTTTAGAGAGGGGGATTTATATCTTTTTTCCTATATTTAAATCTTGTGAGTCTTACAATATATTAGTAACATCTTCTACTAGAAATTCTGTAATATTATCTGCATATTATAATTCAAATCTTCAAAGTAAAGGTCCATATTATAGAAAAGATGTGTGATTATGCAAACTGATCTATATTTCGTTAGACTTTATTTTCATAAATTGTTCTAATAGATGGGATTGTTCAAGGTTTTGTGCAACACACGACGAAACTTGCATTTACAAAGCATTAAAATAAGGTAATCATTAATTTAAGTCTATAAATTCACGAGTGTAATAGTCTTGTATGTGTAAAACATGGAGACCATGCGATTAGTTTCTTCCAGAAAATGAATTTTTTAGGTTAACTGTTTTATGGGTTTCAACAAGACAGCGATTTTAGTGTTAAGACTGGTGGCCAGAAAAGGTGTCTTTAATGGCATTTCTTTAACTTTGACTTGGATCTTACAGGCCCAGTTCCAAAGGTGGTTTTATTGGAACCAATGCTTCCAACCAGGAATTTGGATATTTTCAAATTACAACCGTCTTTGTTTCTTTACTGGTGTGACTAATATATGTACATTTTTATGTGACAAGAAAATCTACTTGATTTTAACTATTTTTGGAATTTAAAATTTTTTAATTAGGTATAAAACTAGATTTTAAGATAATATTAAGAATTTTTTACAAAAAAATTACATGTTATGATAAAATTTTAAGGTGTTATTTAATTGGATTGTTTAAAGTTGCAACCTTATAGAAACCGCATCCTTTAAGTAATAAATGGAAGGATGGATATAGGCAAAGACTGAACTGTATTCATTACCTTTACAAAATAATTCAACAAAGGCTGCCAGTCTTCAAACATGTAACCATGTGTACAACTCAATCAACAAATAACCTTAAATGTTTATTAGGATAAAATATAGAAACCAAAAAAATGATGAGGCACAAAATCACCAACAAGACAACTCACTTAGTCATACATTCATCTCACATGCCCCCTCATGCACATATGTATCATACCCTTCCTCAAATTCCTTTCTTCGCCGTCTAGTAGTGCTTCTCCTAGGGTTTCATTTTGAATCAAGCAATTACAGAACTGGCAACAGCTTCTAGAAACACAATTGAATCTCAAAAGGGTGTGTTATTTATGCTTCATTTGTTAGCCTGAGAGGTCTGAGGGGTTGACAATTTTGGTTGATGATTTTGGTTGAATGGAGGCTGACATAATGCGCAGGCGGTTGGTTATCTCTGTGAAGGAGGGGCGGGCACTGGGATCGGGTGACCAGCACTCCTCCATCAGCCTTCTCCAGTCTGCATCACACCAGTTTGGAATTGGGGGGCGTAATGTGTTGTTCACTATACCACCTTCAAAAATTCCCCACCATGAGGTTTGAGATTTAGTATACCAACAAACTGTGACCTTGAGAATACAGCAAAACTTCTCGATTGTTGTTCAAAGGTATAGTTTCTCTCAGGAAATCCTCGAAAAGATCTCGATAAAATTTTTAAAAAATAAAAGCAACTTTCTTTATTTTTAAGACTCTATACTTCAATGTTTACACTTCAATACAAATTGAGTAATTAAGATATAGTGTGAAATAGAAAATGGGGAGTGTCATGTTATTAACAAAAAATATTTTTAAGCAAATGATACGCAACATTTGCAGCACATCTTTCAGAGGACGAGATATTTTCTTGGTCAGTAAAGGAGTAAAAATACTAATAACAATGACTATGGTAGAACGTGCAGCATGTGGAAGAGTGGCCGTGATATCGGTTTGTTAGCACACACACTTTCCTTTCTAACCTGCATTAGGGGGGGGTGGGGGGCACAATAAAGGTTCTCTTATTTTCCCTTCAAAACACTCAACTAATCAGTAAGCATAATTAGAAAATTGTCGAATACAGGACTGAATAAAGAAGGATAGACCTACTGTATGAAAGTAGTGAGGAGTAGGATAGTCATCCACCCCTCCATTCAAACATTATCAAAACCTGCTAAATTAAGATGAACAGAAATTGAGATATTAGACACTCTATTATGGAGAGCAAATCCCCAGTGGATGGCTCAAATCAGATAGATGCAAAGTCACGTAGAGCAATTCCTAAATGAATGGTGATGCATCTTAATAGAAACCACACCATCAAAGCAAACATAAAACTATGTACCATGAATGTGCCAAAATATAAAAGAAACATATTCGCTTATAATACCCCAATCTTTCGTCGAAAATTAAAAGTTCACACTTGACTATAGTTTCTAAAACAATGATGGCAGCCAACATTGGCCCTTCCAGTTATGTTTACTGCTGGTCATATGCGAAAAAAACATGATGCATTTTTGTCATTTCCCATTAAACTAAGTAAAGAGTGTACCTATAATTGCGCCATAGTGCATATTTGCGTAAGGTTCTTCACCAGTAAGGATCTCCCACAGTGCAATACCAAAGGAGAAGACATCAACCTATACCACCGAATAACAGGATGCTTTGAGAGATGCCCAGTAGATCAAACATGTGCTCATTTTTGTGCATGCATGTATCAATGAGAGAGAGAGAGAGAGAGAGAGAGAGAGAGAGAGAGAGAGAGAGAGTATACCTTCTCTGAGACACGACTGCTGCTCCCATTCAAGAGCTCTGGCGCCATCCATGGAAGTGTCCCTCGCACGCCACCCGATACTAGAGTATTACGCTTGATTCTTGACAACCCAAAATCCCCCACCTAACAAGCATTCAAATATCCAGTAACTAAACCTACGTAGAACTGGTGCAACCATCAACCTAATGAAAGTTTAGAAAGAAGGAAATAAGTATGCACATGCCTAGCACATATTCACAAGATAAGCATGTATAAAATTACATTTTTTATCACCATTTCACTTTTCACCATTTAACTAGTGTATTCCATTTTATTTTCGTATTTTGAAATTATCTCTGAATCATATGTGCACTTCATGCATCACCATTCAAGTTCCCAAACCTTTGTTTATTAAAATATCAGATATAATCAGGGATGCGGGAGATTTTCCCAGCAATCAATGTATGCATTCATTACAAAACATCTTTGCCAAGGATAAAACAAACCTCAGCTTAGCATGCTCAGAAAAATGAATGCTCAGCAGGAAAATCAAAACAGAGATATAAATTTACCAAATAAAAGAGGAGAGAAAAAGGAAAATTTTAAAAAATTTGTACCTTACATATGGGTCTTTGGGAATCCCTCATATTGACTAGCAAATTGTCACATTTGAGATCAAAATGAACAATGCTCTTTGAGTGCAAATATTCCATACCAAAAGCAGCATCCATGGCTATTATAAGCCTTCTACGACGATCAAGGTTCCTGGGATTTGACCCAAGTTCATTACAAAGCATGAATAGAAAAGTTAATAAAAGAAGGAAGAAAGAAGGCTACGCTCACCTGTCTTTCCTTAAAAGCACATGCCGTAGCGACCCATTCACCATGTATTCAGTGACAGTGGCCAGGGTCCCCCCAGCTCCATCAGGCACAATTCCATAGAAGGCCACTACATTGGGATGGTGAAGCTTTGAGAGGATCTTTGCCTCCCTCCAAAAGTCATCTGTCTGTAACAAATACAGCCAGGTGGGCAAGCTGAAAGACCGTAATTTGCAAATGATACATTTAAATTGGGATTTTCGTTTTTTTAGAAATATGAGAAACATACATACACACACTGTGCGTGCGAGTGAGTGCTGCAACAAACTTACTTTAAAATAAAAAACCATTTTTCTTAAGAATTTATCTATCATAAGATAAATAAAAATTATAAGGTTACTCTTTGTATAGCAACAAAACATATTGTACACTATAAATGAACAAGTGCAATTAAAAATTTATGAAAATAACTGGTTTGGTACAGATAATTTTACACCCTCAATATGATAAAAGCCATAGTTTTTCATGTATAGAATGAGAGAGATAAGAGCACGATAGAAAAGTAGATAAAGCAAACTTACCAACCGTTCTTGTTCAGATAATCGCCCTGCAAAGCAACTCTTTTTAATCCGCTTAATGGCAACATCTGATCCCCGCCACTTCCCATGATAAACTGTCCCAAATGTCCCAGAGCCCAACTCTCTAAGTTCTTCAAGATCGGCATTCTTGATTATCTATTCACAGACATCTAATAGGTTCACTTGAATATAAAGATCTTTTCCATTTACAAAAGTAAAATAAAATATGAAGTATCTAAAGTTATTCAAGTCCTTCAAACTTATTTACAAGTACAGGGAGAAATACAGTGAAACTCAAACACAGGTCGGGACTCACCAGGATCCCGAGCCTGAGAGAGCAGACCACTTTGGACGAGCCAGCTGTCTGACTCAGCTGACTCTCTACAAAAGTTAGGCAGAAACTTGGTGACACTCAGTCTAGTCTCAGAGACTTTTATGTGGAGCCCTGGCCGACCGGGGTCCAGGATACTTAGGGGAGTCTGAGCCGGAGAAACCGGTGTATCAATTACTACTTGTACACCCAAATTAAATAATTCAAAGTTTATTCCATTAGGTGGGATATAATAAAGAAGGAACAGGATGGGCACAGAAGGCCCATCATCTTTCCTATCAAATGACATCCAAATTCCGAAGTATTTATAGGGCTTACAATAACAAGGATTCATAATGTCATAACAAAGATTCATAATGGTTACTGGAGTATGTACATCATTGCCATTAAGTTACCCAATTGAGATCAAATTGAATCACATGTTCAAAACAAGAAAATGATTATCCAACTTCAAGGTTTGTTAAATTTGCAGGGAAAATTAGGCTTTGCTGCTGTTCTCCCTTATATAATTTATTATTATTAATTTCAATTAGAAAAAATATATCAAATGCAAATGAAAACTAGCCTTAAACTGTTATAACTATTTGAATGACCTTAACAAATAGAAGCTAGACAGGAGGTGTGATAATACCAAACTATCTAATTACGAATGAAACAGCCTGGTCAGTATTACTTATTAATGATCATTGTTAAGATACACAAGCAGTACGCATTGTAGGGAGTACTCAATACTGGGAACGATGGGTTCCTACCTGAATTATCGATACATTGTCATATCATAGCATTACGCATAAGATCATACAATCCTCTCCTATTCTTGGACATCTTATAAGGACCAGTGTTAACCCCCAAAGCTCCAGCTATGAGCTGTTGTTGTGCATCAACACCTCAACATGAATCGCCACCTTCAGACACATGTTTGAGTAAAAAATGCTATAAAAGTTCAAATTCAGGACCAATTGGTAGAGCAGCTGGATGCTCGACCACTCTGCCAAGTGTGTAAACATGTAGTAAATGTAGGAAATCAATGATATATATAAGTAAAATTACCCTTTCATATAATTATTTGCACAGACGGTTCTTTCCATATGAAGTTTTTTGGCAAGTGTTAGATAGTTTAGACTTGTGTTGGACATCAAGACTTGCGTGTGTGTCCATCTAACACTGATAAGGACATGAAACTACTTCAGCAGGACCGTATCACAATACAATACATACCAAATACCTTGCATAACAAAAAGAAAGGCTTTGAAGGTAAACCAGGTCTAACCAAGTTAACTTTGCAGATTTCTCATTTTGTCACAAATGAAATAAGTAAACTCCAGGACTAACCTGCAAACCATAGAGACCGGCCTCTATTTCAGCTATGGCAGCATCAGTAATAGATTCATCAATGTCCCTGTTGTCAATCTTTGCATCCTAAATGTCACACAGAAAAGTTACATCAATCACCAGAGGATATCAACAACAGATAAATACAGTTGATTGAATATAATTTATTACTTGTACATGGGTGCATGTGCATGCGTGTGTGCATGTGTGTGTGTGTGTGTCTGTGTGTGAGAGAGAGAGAGAGAGAGAGAGAGAGAGAGAGAGAGAGAGAGAGAGAGAGAGACGACGACGTACGTACGACGTACGTACGTACGACGTACGTAACGTACTAACGTACTACGTACGTACGTTCGTTACGTTTACCGTTAC